ATATGCTTCTTATTTGTGAAACTTTGTGAATCATTACAAAACAATAATGTTTTAAATATTCATGCAGTTACTTGAAGTGTTTTTCTCTGTAATGACCCCTTATTACGATGCACATAAAAATCAACTACACTTTTAAAACCAACCAAAAGGTAAAGACACTAAAGAAATGTAACAAAAAGGAGCTTTCAAAGCCTCTCACACCAGTCTTTGCTTCAGCAGGGAATGAATAAAGTGCATTTGCATTAACGCATGGCCTTCACTAAAAAACAGCACTTTTTACAAAAACCCTGAACTACTTTTGTTCAAAGATGAGGAAACATTTGAAAGTATGTAAAACAGAAAAAGTGACTTCCCTTGAGGCCTTTAAGTAAGAGCGCATTGGACATTCCACAATCACTTTTTCAGACATTCCAGGTCAAGGTTCACATACATGGATGAAATATTCCACCAGCACTTTAATTCTCAATCTACTGAAATGTGCAGTACATACTGGACTCTTTGTCAGAATATGAAATACAGGAGATGTAAATGAACTCAATAACCCAATATAGCCTCGATAACGAAGGAGGTCTTGTTGTTAGCAAAGTCTGCTTAATCTATTTTATAGGTGCAATTCTCTGAAGGACTGGAATCTGTCGGAGCAGGTATAGGAACTGTCAGGTTGAAGGAGCATGTTACCAACGAGACAGTGAAAGTAATTCCTGTTAGTACAAGCCATTGATTGTTTTTGTGTGCAATTCCCCGCTGATAGTCTAGTCTTTACTGCGACTCCTTTTGTTTGATGTAGTTTAGTATATTTATTCAAATGCTCCTAATCGTAAACCAGCGTGTTGGCAAGAAAAACGCAAATTTGAGTTTACAGTGAAGGGAAAAATAACTCCCTGTGTATTGCAGAGCCGGTTTATTCATAGCGCATATTTTGAAAGTGAAGAATGGGTATATAGCAAAATGGATTCTAGGAAATGTTAAATTTGCTGAGAGAGAGAAGCACAGCGGTGCAGGAGGCCTGTGGAGGAGATGGGTGTAGATTGATAAATGTGGATGCAGAGGAGGACAGAGCACAGGCGACACACTGGATGAGAGAGAAAAGGAAAGTATTAGCTCGTCTAATGACTGGAGCCGCATGGACACGGATCAAACAGGCACTACTCTAACGGGAGCGGCTCGGAACGGGAGGAAAGTGCACAACTCGAAGTAGAAAACAATCCATATCTGCCAGGAAGAGCTGTCTTTCACTCTTTTCCTGACTATATATACCCTTAAACCTATTATATTTCTATACAGAGGTGTAGAGTGGTCAAGTGTTTTTCCAATTTTACCCGCTATAGTCCCAGTTTTGACCTGTGTCCCATGTCTGTGAAGAACTTTAAAAAAACATTGATTATCTTTATTATACTCACTAATAAAATAAAGTAACATTTTAGCATTAGACATGATCAAAACATTAAAAAAAGATTAAAAAGCGGAAAAAAAGGGCAAAAATATTAAGATTGAGATTTTTTACGTCCCACAGCGGGGAAATTTCAGCTTTGCATCAGCAGTGCAGAACAGTGCAGAACAATGAGGAGAACAAGATGGGTGAAAAATATCTGTATACTTTTAAAATAACATGTCCAACTTTAGCATAATAAAGATGTAAATATAAAATCCTATATCTTCTAGTGCAAGAAATATATAATATCTGTAAATGTTAGACAATATTTTTCACGTATTATGCCCCGAGTGCGTCCCAGGTTTTTGTTCGGGTAACCCAAACAATCAACATAACCGTAAAAACAACTGAGATATAGTTGCGATACAGAAGAACTATAAAGGCAAAGCTATGACATGTAAATGGTGACCTCCAAAGTCATGCAGTGCACCTCATATCTTAAATTTACACCAAGCAGTGCACAAAAGTTAATGCAGGAGTAACGCAATACGCACCTGAATTTGAAAGCTTCATTTTGTACCAGGAAAAACTGATCTTGTTTGTTGATGTGTTGTCTCATTTTAACATTGTGAGACGATCTTTATGAAGGTCTCTCTATAAATAAAAGGTAGATGGACGGCTCCATGGCATTTGAATACAGTCTCGTGTGTTGCAGATCAACAAAGTTCAGAACAAATTACAGAAATGCGCTGCGGCGGTTAGGTTCGGATCACACAATTAACACAATTACAGCCCAACTTCTAAATTCGGGATGTCACTTGTGGCAGAGTATATTTCCCATTTAACGCTTCATTTGGCTCAAAATGGCCGCCCTGGTGTAATAAATGAGAGCAGGGAGAACAAAGGGGACCGGGAGGGTGCAGAGGAAATGCTGTTGACAGAATAATTTTGATGAAAGCTGACAGCTAATTTATCGAGCATATTTTTGAGTAAATTATTTTTTTCCGGCTTCATCTTTCAGAGCCATTTTTTGGTAATTGGATTTCCCCTAAGTTTCCGTGTAGAAGTAAACTAGTTAATAGAGAGCTTGTTGAAATAGTGTGAGTGGCATGCTTACATTTTTGGCAAGAGAATAAATAAATCTTAGAGAAAAACACAGTAGCATACATGCATAAAGACTGCAGTACAAGTTTTTAGCGCTTCATCTTGACAATAAACACCTGTCTTTTCCTTTGGTTCTATTATTCATATATTAGTCATGTTTTAAGTTAAGAGTTACCAAGGAAATACATCTTTTTGCAACTTGGTTTTCCAGGAACTTCTGATAATAAAACTAGAAACTTGACAAATGTTATATTTTACATTTCTTTCTGAAAGTAGTACAGTAAAATTTTAATAAACAGGTGAACTATCTTTGGGCCTCCATTAGCATTTTGAAGAGTATTAATAATTATAATTTGTCACCTTTTTGTCCTCGAGTTCTCCTAAAACACCCAAAAGATAATTGCTAAGCTGCGGTTGTCTGCTCAAATATCTCACTATTACTAACAGCATTTTTCATTCCTTTTCAGTCAATCCAGAGTCATAGACACTCAGGGACAGGGACACAAACGCACACTCCTTCACAAGCTAACAACCACATTTCTCCATCCTTTTCACTGAATCTAATTGCCTCGAGTGTTGTGTCTTTATGAAGCTATTCCCTTAGGCCCTTTTCTTTTGCAGTTGCACAACTGTGTGTTGAGAAACTGAGGAGAAAAAGGCTGAAAGAAGCTCAAGTAGGTATAGTGTGTTTTTTAGCAGAGACTGAAAACACAAGCCTGTGCTAAAGAGAAAGTATTCCTCAAAGGAAGTATGATAAGACTGAAGAGAAAGCATCCTGATTTACATCCAACATCGAAAAACAGTAATGTGTTATTATTGCGTTATGAGGCAAGTCATTTGTCATTTAGAAAAGAACAGATAGAGGTGAAACTCTGTAAAGTACACTTGAACAGCCGTATTGTCACATGAAAGAGATTATGTGTGATTACAATATCAATAACTGACATTTCTGCTCAATTCTTCAAGCAGATATTTATTTTAGACCATCTCAACCTGGCGCACGTCCTCCACAACACTCATCCTTATGCATAGATAAAATCCTTATTCAAACAGCAGTTATGCAAAGCCAATTGACCCAATCCTTCTACAACTACACCATTTCCCAAACCAAACTGACACAAAAGCCCTCCTAGCCTTACATTACCCAAACAAATGTAATGCAAATGAATTAAATCCAAGGTAATCCACTCAGGATGGTCTGAGCCAGACTATGGTTCCAGTGGTCCGCCTCAATACTGCTTTCTGCAGATTAGTGTTGGCAAAAAGAGGCAGAGAAAGGCAGCAGTTCAACATGCAGATGGTGCACTAATTAACACAAAACTGAAGCAAATAACTGGACCAGAATCAATGCCAAAATCCAACCAGTTTTGGGAAACACAGTCGGAAAACACACCACCCTTGAATGATAAAAGCAAATTACTCGAAGTAGATATAATGTCATGGTGTGGATTTCATTTTGTATTTTGGTTTTATTTTGACATCTGTTCTCTGTGGTTTTGGTTTTAGTTTGACTTTGACGTCCTGTTTCCCCTGTGTTGATTGTCTGTCCCGCCCTAATGTGTTTAACCTGTGTCTCTGTCTATATGTACCAGTGCTCCTCTCCTCTTGTTGCTGGTTCATTGTATTGTCTACATCTGTTCTGTTCCTGGTTCTGTATTTTGAGTTTAGTTTTCACCTGATCTTTTACTTTATTAAATCATGATTTTTTGCATTCCTGCGTTTGGGTCCTCCATTCATCTCACCCCACCTCGTGACATATAACACTTTCTCTTTGTGATCGATTCATTTGTTGTGTAATTGTGTTACAAAAATAATTATATTTCAAATCCAACTGAAGGATTTTATTTTTACTCTTTTTAGTGCACTGTGGGCATTTATGATTTTAATCCCATGTGTGATTTTAATGTTTTAAGGTTTTTAATTACATGCAATGTTTTTAATTTTTCTTGTGATCTTAATGTTTGTTTTTAATTGTATTCTTTTGTATGTACATGTAGATTTTTAATGTTTATGATTTATGTCTGATGTGATATGGGTTGTGAGAATCATTGTGTTGCAATTTTGTAGGAAAGGCGCTCTACTAATAAAAGTTGTTCAATTGATTGATACATTGGACTATATTCTCATATCTTTTGTCAACAGTAGGGCACAACTTCCTCGGCCACAACTCAATTCCATTTGGTTAAAGCCGCCTTATGCATCATTTGAATCGTAAATTACATAACAGACATAATTAGTGCAGACAAAATGTAAAAAGCTAGCATGGAGATATATAACCATTTTATATTACCAACCGAATGGCAGTGTGACAATTCCGATCACATTTACGCATTCAATTCAGTACTTTCACTGGATTTTCCATACAGTTCATTAATCTAATAACCTCTACCACAGGTTTAGGCGGCTTATAACTCTGACAAGCTCCAGAGATGTGTGTGTGTGTGTGTGTGTGTGTGTGTACTGGTGTTTTGGTGTGCGAGTGGCGAGTGGCGAGGAGAGAGCGTGAGCTTCTGCGGGTTTGTACCTGGAGTGTTGAGCAGTCTGGACATGCGGCAGCTGTAGGCGATGCTCTGCTCACAGTATTCTGTGCTGGTGGTGATGGCTGTCATCTGAAAAACACAAAGCAAGCAGCAACATGATGCTTTAATTCTCACCCAGAAGGTCCAGTGCAAGTATGCGACGGAAGATCCAGCTGCAATTTAAACGTCTTTGGTACTTGGAGTATTGAAATCCTCTCTTTACTAAAGAAAGAGTGTAAAAGTACAAGCTTTTGTATGTACTTATATATAGAATGTGCAGTATATACAACCTGTGAAATTCATGCACACATTACATGCAAAGTGAGATACATATCAGGTTTTTATGTTTTGAAATGTAAGGGGTAGAAAGTACAGGCATTTGAGTAAAAGTAAAAGAGTAAAATGTAAATAGTAGGGATACAAAACAAACACAGTAGAGTACTTGGGTAAAAATATACTTAGTTACTTGCCACCTCTGAGATCAAAACAGATAGGTGATCACAATACTTCATAAGAAAATAACATGTAACAGATTATTAAAATAAAAAAAATGGCATCTGTGTGTCTGACTTGTCAAAAGTGCTTTTCAAGTTGAGTTTTTGTACAGTTTTTAAAAGCAAATGGCCCTGTGATCCTGTGTTTAGGGAGTCATGGTTCCAGTTGAACAAATCAGTCGGATCATCAGGCAGTTGTTCCTAAGCCCTTTATGAATGAATGCAGTCGAATGTTGCTTCTCTAAGGGACAGAAAAGGCTGCATAATGACCGGTAGCCATCATTACACTGTGGCTATACATGTACAAATATATACTCAAATAGGGTAATTGAAAACTGTAAGTTGATTCAAATGTTATACTCATTAATTTATTTTATTTATTTATATATACAGGTTTATTCTTACCTGGTCGATAGTGGCGCTGTAGTTCACCTGCAAAACCGTTCGCTTCTCTCGACTCGAGCCCACCACAGACGTTCTGGGAGGCAGATTGTTCATGACTATTGTCCACACATTTTCATCTGCAAAAAACAACAAAAAAAGCTGGTTACATTTGAGGCTTCCATAATGTTTATAATAGTTATTATTCTATGACAAAAAGTGCTTTTTAAATCTTTTATCCTCTATCACCTATCGCACAGTATTGCCAACGTCCCTGCCAACCTATGCCCACCAAGCTAGCAGTTTTAAAGTGGAAAATGTTAATCCGTTGTCTCTTCCTTGGCCTTCGAGCTTGCTAATGCTAATGCATGAACGTTTTGCTTTCTTTGTCTCTATTCACTTAAACTGAAAAGTACGCTCCTCTAGCTCTGTAACCGTGCGTCTCACTCTCACCATTTTGGAAATAAAAGTCCATAGTGTTTTTATTCTGGCTTTGCAAATTCCGATATGTCCCGACAGCTGAACGATCATGTGCCTTCTGTCCCCGAATTCGGCTTCTGCGGACGAGTAGCGCGAACATGAACGGACCAGCAATGCTCCTCTTTTGTTGCTCGGCCGTTGCTTCCACAAATTTGGCTCCGAATTCCTGCCCATGGACCCAGTTTGAGATCTCTCTAATCTGCTACAATAATGCATACACTACGGGGGACATCAGCACTCAGTTAGTCCACTCCTTGTACGGGTTATGGTTAATCCCCAGAGTTAAAATACAAATGTACATGGTGTATTAATCGATACAAGCAAAACAATCCTCTGGCAGCTTTGACGTATAAAACCAGCAACTTTGCGTGTCTCACTGGTGAGGTTTTGAGAAGTAAAATTTGAAAGCTTAATAGACACTTTTGGAATGTTGTGACATGCTCCAGTCATTCACTCGTCTGACACGGGGTACGGTGGCCTCTGAGGTGCAGACAACAGTGAAGAAGCTGCTCCTCCTCCTCCTCAGGTGTGTGAGAGTGCTGCTCAGTGTGACCAAAGGGACCAGGCAGCGGAGTGCACTGACATTTCATTAAATGTGCCACCTTTGCTATGCTTGCATGCTCCCCTGTTCCAACCCACTTACCCAAGGCAGCATGTATGCGTGTGTGTGGGTTTGTGTGTGTGTGTGCGTGTGTGCAGCTTCTACACCTGGATGTGTCAACAAATGGGTGTGATGATAGTCATGCAAGAAAATGTGAACTATTAGTATATTGGTGTATGGGGGTTATGAAAAGTGAACATATTACTGTGAAGGTGTGGCAAAAAAAATAATCAAAATGTGGCAATGTTAGCTGTCTGTTGGATACTTGGAAAATAACCACAACTTTCAACAGAAATAGTCTTGTGCAAGTAAAACGTTGAAAAAATATCTCAATAGAAAAATTGTAAGAAAGAGGCACTACTTGACACTTTTGGCTGAGATCTGATTGGCTGAGTGAGGGCGGCCATCTCTCTGTTCACTTTTCGGTCTGAAAAAGCTGATCCAAACAGACAGAAGTCGAGAACACATGAAAATTAGTGAAAGAACTGAATATGGATTTTATTACACAGTTGAACCGATCAAGGTTGAAACGTCAAGCTTTGATCTCATTAAAGCCTTTCCCCAAGTATATTGTTAGATAGTAATCTTGGTCGATGTTTATACATGTTTTAGTTTGATTTCATGTGGACCTACGTTCAGGGCAGTGGGATGTTTATAGTATAGTGCTGTTTCTTATTCCACCTCTGTATTCAGTGCTGGACTTTATTGCAGACTCAATAAAAGTATTTTCATACTTTTCTCATTGGATGATTTATTGGAAAGGGCATGGCATTGACTCTCTACACCTTAGCTGAGAAATTCTCCATATTGTTCACAGGAAATGTACCTGCAAAACATCCTTCAAGAAAAATGTCGACCCGTTGCCATAGAAACGAGAGGTATAGTTAAGAGAGAGAAGGACAGCGGCGATTTCCCTCCTCAAGGGGTCAACAAGCCGTGTGCCCCCCTCTTGAGCGGCCGGTGCTCACCTGTCATGTTACAGTTGACTTTGAAGGGGCTGAGGGGCCCGCTGCCATCGGGGTCGATCCAGTACGTATCAGACGACCTGCCCAGGTGCTTATAGGCTTCACAGGACGGCTCGTAGATGGCTGAGACCACACAGACAAAAAGCATTCACTGTAGACAAAATCTCATCTGGATAATGTTTACGCATGTGACCTATGAATGACTTATTGTCGTCTTCAGTGGCTCTTGTGTTGTGTGTTGTGTACACAATATGGACACACACTGCCAGAGATTAAAGTGTTTTTGCTGTTTTTTGGAGATTAAGAACAAAAACACAAACACTTGTTTTCAAATAATTGATAAAGGCTTAACACTGAAACGTTGCATTCCGTTATACATTTCATTATGTCCCAAGTAAGGTGTACTGGCATCATTTTTTTGATTCAACTCAAGGCTGTACTGGCCTCTCCTTCTTCCTCCTATTTTTTTATCATAACATCTTTGAGCCAGGAATTTACAGGAACTAGAGGCTTTTTGCCAAGAAGAATAGGCAGCTTTACCATCGAAGAAAACAAAGAACCTTATTTCTTTACTTGACAATAAATGGCTTCACACAACCAAAAACAATGAATACAAAAAATAGTTGCAACAACTTTCAAGCTCAAAAAGCTCGTAACATTTTTCTTAGCACAAATGTGCCAAATGTGACATACACATTTCTCCAGTGTGAAATCAATCTATCTTATCTTATTTTATCTTAATTATTTGAAGTGAACGAAAACGAGTGTTGAATTTTTGCCATGAAGAAAGTTGAATTTGATGATGCTCCTTTTGTGTCCAGTCTCTCTAATCTGCTCATCAGTCTATAGAGAGCTGACTTTTGCAGAGGGGTCAAACGCACACACGCACTCACACACACACACACACACACACACACACACGCACACACACACGCACACACGCCATTTCAAAAAGTCTTTTGAAATGGCGTATGCATCAGCACTCCCATAAGTACAATGAATGTGCCATATAAATTAGAGTGATTTTATGCCAGCTCCAGACTGAACAGAAGGGAGTATTTTGCGCATGGCTGATGTAAACCTCTGACCTTAAGTGCTCGCAGACAGAAAGACGATCTACTTGAAAAGAGAAATGCGTGCGACTGTTTTGATCAAGAAGAAATCAATGAAGCTTTAAACTGGTCTAAAATAATCTCCTCTACTCCCCTGGTAGCCATCTCTCTCCCTTTTCACTCCAGCCTTTGATTTTGTTCTTTTTATTGTCTTCCCTTAAACTTTACTATTCTTTTTCATTGTATCCTGGAATGGCATGATTACAGGGCCTTTTCAGTTTTGTGTTGCCTGGCTCATTCGATTTTCGAGATGGAGTTACTTGCTGTGAAAGTCCGTTCTTTAAGGAAACTGTGTTTGGAGGGACTGACCCTGCACAGCTACTTTCAGAGGAGCACCACTAAACTCCAGGAAATTGGGAGATTTGTCTGAGCTCAAACGTATGGGTAGGGTGGTGCTGAGACACCGGGTCAGGAAATACAAATAGGCTGCAACTATTTGCCAGTTGCTGTTGAATCAAAAAGCAACACCATTCTATTTTCTAAGGAATAGTACTATTTACGTGGAAGGGCATTTTGGGGAATTGGTTGCAATGTTTTTGGTTTAGTTTAGGCCTGTGATACAAAGCGTTTGAGAAATAAGGCCTTGGTAAGACTTGGCATGGCATAACACAACAACATAACAAAATGGTGTTCTAAAACCGCTTATATGTATCAGTTGATAATAAAACAAAAAAACCCCGTAAATGAATAATAACATCAATGCAAGATTTGGAATGATTATGTTTAATATATAAAGAAACTGTGCCCCACCAGGTTAAGCCCATTACCCATGTTATTGAACCACAGTTGTAGAGCCATTCACAAACTATGGCCAGTTCAAGGGTAAGTAAGTGTAAGGAACTATTTTATAAAGATAAACTTTGTATCTTTTTTTGAAACTCTTTAGAAAAAGATTGTAGTCTGTCTTCAAGTTTATACTAAGCATTGGCCCTGAGAAGTGTCTATCTTCCGTACGAGCAAATCATCTGTATTTTACCACCGGGAGGCTATAATGTTCTGTTTTGTGCTCACTTTAAGAAACCTGCGGCATTGAAGTTTTGTATTAACTATAAAACTCCACACCACAAGCTTGCCTTTTACTTAATGCGGCTTTATTTCTCTTGGCTCTATGTGCATATGGTTTAAAAGTACCCACTGTATATGACATATGGGTCATAGTAGCCAACGACAGTAACAATCTGCTTCCGTCCTGACACTGTGCTCTGGAGCTTTTGCCTCTTTTTCAAAGCAAAACACACAAAGCAGATGGACGGGCTGTGTGTGTCCAGGCACTTCAAACATCATCTGTTCCTCCGCTGAGGATTTTGACCGAGGCAGAAACAGTATAATAATTCAAAAGTATAGGGAGGGGGCCAAAAGGGGGGGGAAAACCTGATATGTGTGTGAGAAGTGTTTTTTTTGTGTGGACATATACTACTTACAAGTGTGGCAGGTGGCTCCAGTGTACCCTGTCCCATCACAGGTACAACTGAAGCTGTCCCATGTCTGTCTGCACCCGCCGCCGTGCTCACAGTGGTTTGGCATACACCTAAAAACACATGAAATAACATCTCATTCAACAAATATTGGCTTTCAAAAAAAATCAAAACTATTTATCAGTGAAAAAAATCCCTAATTAACTTCAACCTATAAATCCATTTAAGCTGTTATTAAACTTCTCTCATAGTAACCAAGGAAAAAAGTTGTGAACAGAGAACCAAATTCCCATTATCATAATCACTAATGTTACTTGACAATTGTGACAAGTTTGGCTTTTCTTATCATTCTGACAAAGGCAAGGCAAGGCAAGGCAAGTTTATTTGTATAGCACAATTCATACACAAGGCAACTCAAAGTGCTGAACAAGATAGCATTAAAATCATAAATAATTACAGAACATTAAAACGAAAGATAAAAATATAAAATCCCTCAGTTGTATGCACAGCTAAACAGCACCGTTTTTAACCTGGTTTTAAACATTGTCAGAGAGGAGGCCTGTCTCACATCTTCAGGAAGATTGTTCCAGATTTTAGCAGCATGAATCTGAAAAGCAGCCTCCCCATGTTTAGTTCTGACTCTGGGCACTAACAGGAGTCCAGTCCCTGTGCTCCTCAGAGTCCGGGCTGGTTCATATGGGACTAACATGTCACTAATATATTTTGGTGCGAGGCCATGGAGAGATTTGTACACAAGCAGAGCTGTTTTAAAGTCTATTCTCTGAGCCACAGGAAGCCAGTGCAGGGACCTGAGGACCGGACTAATGTGGTCGTACTTCCTGGTTCTAGTCAGGACTCGAGCTGCTGCATTTTGAATGTACTGCAGCTGTTTTACAGCCTGTTTGGACAGACCTGTGAGCAGGCCATTGCAGTAGTCTAACCTACTGGAGACAAATGCATGGATAAGAATCTCCAAGTCTGCTTTAGACACTATGTTTTTGATCCTGGCAATGTTTTTTAGATGGTAAAAAGCTGCTGATGTTACTGATTTGATGTGGCTATTAAAATTTAAGTCTGAGTCCAGTATTACCCCTAGATTTCTGACCTTGTTAGAAGGTTTTAGGGAGAGAGACTGTAGGTGACAGATGACGCTCTCTCTTTGTTTCTGGGGACCAAAGACAATCATTTCAGTTTTGTCTGCGTTTAGCTGAAGGAAGTTGTTTTGCATCCACTCACTGATCTGTTGGATACAGTGAAGGAGTGAGTCCACTGGTCCATGTTCTCCTGCAGTCAGTGAGACATAGATCTGAGTGTCGTCTGCATAGTTATGATAGGAAACTTTGTTTCTGCGTATTAACTGACCTAACGGCAGCATGTAGAGATTGAACAGAAGAGGTCCCAGGATCGACCCCTGTGGTACTCCACAGGTCAGGGCCATATGATCTGAGACACAGTTTCCAATCTCCACAAAGTACTTCCTGTCTTCAAGGTAAGACCTAAACCAACTTAGGGCGGTGCCAGCGACGCCAACCCAGTCCTCTAGTCTCTGTAAGAGGATCTCATGGTCGACAGTATCAAAGGCAGCACTTAGATCTAACAGGATTAGGATTGAGACTTTGCCTGCGTCAGTGTTCAGCCGGATATCGTTTGTAACCTTAACGAGAGCAGTCTCAGTGCTGTGGTGGGGTCTAAAGCCGGACTGAAACATATCAAATGAGTTGTTGATTATAAGAAATCTAGTAAGCTGTAGGTAGACAACTTTCTCAAGGACTTTCCCCATAAATGGCAGATTTGAGATGGGACGATAGTTGTTAAGTACCGTAGCATCCAGACTGCTCTTTTTTAGCAGGGGCCTGATGACTGCAGTTTTCAGGGCCTTTGGGAATATTCCAGAATCAAGGGACATGTTTACTATCTGTGTGAGTGAAGGTAACAGACTGCTCAGAACAGACTTTAGAAATCTAGTGGGTAGTACATCCAGGCTGCATGTGGAGGAGCTCAAACTGGAGATTATCTCTTGGACAGTTTGATCATTTACAGGTGCAAAGTAAGTTAGCTCAAAGAGCCTTTCTGGCTGTTGGATTGTTATCTGTGGATTGGAGACAATGGCGTTTTTGATGCCTTGAACCTTGTCATTGAAAAAATGTGCAAACTCATTACATTTACGTTTGGAAGTTAGCTCTAATGGCATTTGAACAGGGGGGTTTGTTAATCTATTAACTGTTGAAAACAGAACACGCAGATTGTTGCTGCAGCCTTCAATCATTTCAGAAAAATACCTTTCTCTTGTACTACGTAGCACCTGGTTAAACTCGCACAACTTATCTTTGAAGATCTTGTAATCAACCTGGAGGTTGGACTTGCGCCACTTCCGCTCGGCCCTCCGGCACTCTCTCTTTTGTGCTCTGACCGAGTCTGCTTTAGCCCACGGCGCCTTCTGCTTATTTTTCACTATTTTAACCTTCACAGGGGCAACGGTATCCAGAACATTCAAAACACTAGAGGTGACAGAGTTAAACAGTTCATCTACAGTAGAATACGATGCATTCTCAAAGTTTATCATTCCCATAAATAGTTCACCCGTATTTTCATTTATGTGTCTTCTTCGTACAGTTGCAGAGTCCACTGGTGGTTTGTTAGTGAAACACATGTCAAAAAATATACAAAAATGATCCGAAAGCGCAACATCGACCACGTTTACATTATATATGTTCGCCCCCTTTGTAACTAACAGGTCTAGAGTGTGCCCTTTGCTGTGGGTGGGGCCACTCACATGCTGAGTGAGACCAAAAGATTCAAGAAGAGAACTCAGCTCTTTAGCATTTCTGTCATCAACATTATCCACATGAATATTAAAATCACCTGTAATAACTAAACTATCAAAATCTGTGCATACAACTGAAAGCAACTCTGTAAAATTATCAATAAAACTGTGACATGACTGCGGTGGCTTGTATAGGACAACGAAAAGTATTGGAGGAGATTGTTTTTGTTGTATTTTAAAAGACACATATTCAAAAGACGGAAACTTCCCAAGAGACATTCTATGGGAAAGACAACAAAGAATTGTTGTTTTATCCACGTCCCAGTCCACCGGGGATGGATTCTACGTCACAACATACATGTATCACATAAAATCATCTTCTTAGTACAAATCAAAGATGTGTTAGTCATAACAGTAATTGGCTAAAATAGAAGCTGTCAGGTTTTTAGCTGCAGGGGTCCGATATAAAGCCATGTAGAGGCAGAAAAACCAAAGGCAGTGTGTACCGAGGGACTGCGGCGTTGTCAAGTTTTAAGACAGTGGTGCACAAACAAAAACGCTTTGAAACTGTCTGCAATTGAGGTATCCCTGGCTCAAATATCTCACAAACCACCACTGGTCCATTTACTGTGTGTCACTATTACCCCGTGTATATTTTATAGTGACTAGATTATGACTTGTATGTTATGTTATGTTTTAGATTGATAATTTATGAACTGCAGAAGTAGAACTGTAATCCATGGGCACATACTGTACATACAGTAGTTGTACATGTACCTTGGACCTTTTGGTTGGTTGTTGAGGAAAATCAATGAGTCAATCAATGCATAAGGTGACAGTTGATTTTGAACCAAGGTAGTGAGAATAATTTTTGATTTGGTCTTGTTAGTCTGCTCTTCCCAACAATAGCTCAAATAGTGGCAATGCACTCCAGATAATACAGTACAATTGAGAAAATACCAAATCAATTCAATTAAAGAACTGTATTGTATTCGAATGTCAAAATGTCCCATAGCTTCAGTAGCGTAACAAGGGCCAGATAAAAGGTATTGTGCTTTTATAATGGGCAGCGATTGACGAGCACTTGCAATCACACATGAAATCACACCGGGAGCACAAAAGGACACCGACTTCTTGCTCTTTCTTTTGTGCATGAAGAAGGAAAAATCAATCACGAGACCGGGTCGCATTCAAATTTGCTTTCATGCATCATTGTGATCAGCTGGATGGGCTTAAGGAAGGACAGTATCAATGTTTGCATGCAAGTGGCAACTTCAGACTGGCGTGTTTAGCTTCCTCCAGCTCCCATAACGTCCCAGTGTGCAGCAGCATTGATCAAAAGCAGGTCAGACAGGGATATCGAACGGCCTTCAACGACATTCTGATTAGTTGGATGGTAACAGTGGGCACATTCGTCTTCCTGTGGCAGTCCAGGCCACAGCCCCACCTCAACCACAGCACCAATGGATACACAACATTTAAAAGTAATTGAGACTGGCAACGCAGCCAACGTGAACAATGCCAAAGTGCTATAGAGACAGCGGTGGACCTTGACAAAAGCTTCCAACAGGAGCCGTTAGCGCGCAAAGCTAATGCATGGCAATCTACAATAATAATAATTTCATAGTACATTACCTCACACCGGCATAGCAACACAAATGATAACAGAAGGCTGCAGGCAATTCCATTAATTACACAAAGCCATGAAAACTAATGTTGCTTTGAAAAATTCGGATATAGCTTCTGAAACAGACCTGGTTCAAAAACTCACCGGAAATTATGTATTCATTTTTCCACAGCTGCACCGAACAGATAACACTATTTCTCTCAAATTTCATCACTTCAAATGAACTAGATCTATGTACAAGTTATTATTTAGACCAAGCCAAAAACATCCCCACCTTGTTCTAAATGGCACATGTCCTTATCAGATTTGAATAAGGTTAAACGAAGCTGACAGAGTTGGCTCGAAAACCATTTGTTCAATTTGAGGAAGCAGTGATCAGTGCAAGGTCATGTCTTAATTATGGCCTTTACTAATGCTTACCACAAGATGTTTACAGATTACAATTGATACTGGGATATAGAAGGACGTATCTACTTCTTGGCAAAGTGCTGTTATTCAAAGTTACAGTCAAAAGAAAAAGGTTATTGTGATATGATCCAAAACCCAAGAAGTAAACGTCAGTATAGTGTAGAATGGGTACAGACGCAACAGGAAAAAGATTATGTTGGACGCATTATCATTTATCATAATTATTATGAACTAATCTGCTATGTACACTCTAATTATAAAAGGTAAAGGTGCACTTTATTAATCCCCGTAGGGCATTTCAATCCTCTGCATTTGACCCATCCTGATGCCGCTCAGGCTGTTTATAGTGGGCAATGGCCGCCGTAGAACAGCGCCCGGGAACCCATCTCCAGATGATGATGCTCGGCTTGGTCAGGGCAACCGGAGCTGGAGGATTTAACCTAGTATGCATGTTTTAGTGGTAGGGGAGTACCCGGAGGAAACCTACGCAAGCACAGGGAGAACATGCAAACTCCACTCAGAAAGACCCCGTTCAGAACCGGGATTCGAACCCAGGACATTCTTGCTGAGAGGCGAGAATGCTATCCACTCAGCCACCATTGGTCATTCGTTTTTATCTTATTTTTCTATGACTAAATCTTGACTTTCTGTCTGTTCCCAAAAATTATAAAAAGAAAATAATAAAAAAAAGTAAGCTTTCTTACAGTTGTAGACCAAAAACTTCTGTGACCCAGATATGAGTCTTGATTTAAATGAAATATTTTTTTGTGGATAAACTGTGAAAAACGAATGCGGTTTTGCACGATCTCCGAACTCTGAATTTCCTCTGTTAGTTACCTTCATTTATCAGTTCGACGCAAACCTAACCTATTCGCTCTCTTGCAGATCTTGTACAGAAATAAAGCTTATCGTAGGATCATAAATCTTTGGATAAGGATGCGAATGCTATTGCAAACATAAAGCCCTTGATTTACGACGTTCATTTATGCAGGAGAGCAAAAGCATTCTGGTTTGCACTTGTTGAAGAGGAGAAAGATCTATGCTTGTTAACTTGAAACTTGTGCAGGTTTGTATTGTATTGATTTTACCTGTCAATGATTGCGCACATATCCAGGCTGACATTCTCGAAAGCCCCCACAGTGCCTCTCTCCACTGCATGTAGATCCGCCGGCTGGTCGTCCACTAGAATGGCCTGCATACATCCCTGGAAGGACCTCTGGGTCGGCGGGAAGAGGGTTTGAAGGAAGTACCCTGACAGACACAGAAAACAGTGGCAATGAGGTGGAGGAGAGAGATGCCCGCAGCGTTTGTGGCGAAAACAAGCCCAAGATTTGTCTCAAAGGAAGTCACATACAGGTGAAATCAGTATATGATACAGACTAATGAATAATATAATTTTCCAAATGTCACTTGTAGTTGCTAATTTACCACCAGCAGACACATAAGAAATGCAACAATAAAACACCTAACTGATAACAGGTTAACCATGATATCCATAAATATCCCAGATCATGGTATGTGCTTTATTTGAGCAGTGTTCAATTTAACCTGAACACAAAGGAGAGATGTGTTGTACAGTACCAGGTTATAGCAAAGATGCTAATTTCCACCTGCAGTCCCCGGGCTGATGTTATATTCATTTAAACAGATTCTAATGTAGATAGATACATACATGACCATGAAGCTCTCCTCCCCCCTCCAAGGAAAACAAAAACACGTATAGAAAAAGAGAAATGAGGGAGGGACCTTGAACGGGTAGGCTATAGATCCAGGAATGGGACTGAAGAAAACTAATACGACAGAAGAAATGAAGAAGAAATAACCTAATGTCGTATTTCAAGTCTCTTTTGAAATGTACTACAATGTTTAACAATGTTTCAAAATGTATATAACACCTTGCTCCAGCCAAAACTCTGTCTTTGGTCTTTCGGTCCACAGAAACAAGGAGACTCTATCCCTAATCCATACTCTGACTTGACTTTCAACAGCCATTTTAAATAACCAACATTGACAACTTGGTACCATCTAAAACAATGCAATGCTTACAATAAAAAAGAAATAACAAATTCTCAAACCATGATTTGGTCCTATGAAAGTGTTCGAATTGGTTTGATCCTTCAGCTTGGAAAAGGGCACCATCAGCAGCAGCAGAAATCAAAGTTAACTACTGCATCATCCTTGATAACAGCCGAGCAGAGCGTCGCTGCGTCAGTGTGGTTTTTACGGCGGTGTTTTTCAGAGCCGATCCACGAGGCCCATTAGCCTTCGGCAGAGACTTAAGGCCACAACAATGCACAGAGGACATACGGTTTACTATAGGCACCTTTATGAAGTACAAGAGGCAATGGGCCGTCCACAGCCAGCACCGGGCTTTGACTAAGCAGGGACAAGGCAAAGGCAATACTGGGCTTAAGATTCACTACAACAGTCCATACAGTTGATTTGCTTTGCAGGATATAATAAAAAAATGACTTATTACTATTTACCAGGCAACTCAGTCTATGCTACCATTGTAATATAGTGTGACGCTTCAGGGGAGGTCTGTGGTTTTGCATAATACCAGTTTTGCATGCGAGGCTGGTACGCTTATAAAAGGTCACGGTGGATTGCTTTTATGCTCCGTAGATTGGACAATAGTAAACAAAGAGGGAATACTGATGAGATAAATTGCTGCTAATATCCTCAATGGAACTTGAACGTGGTCACACTGGACCTTTAACAGTGCATGCACAAGTACTACTGTCACTTTAACCTGCACTGTTAAATATCTGTTGTGCGTACTTATGCAGTAGACATTTCATTTTAAGATTTTGTATTCATGCCTTTATATGTACAGTATTCGCTACTTTTCTAACTCATGCCAAAGCAAATTCCTGGTTTGTTACTTACAATTCGGATTCTGAAGTACAGTAGAGTGAAGAAATATACCATACATAATACCATAATAGTGAAAGGCAGAATATAAGTTCACACATATTGGCTGTAGATAACATGCATTTGGAATTCAATCTTTGCCTCAAGCAAGCAGGTCTTCCATAAAACACTTCTTCTCAATGACATCTCCATCATGTGGATGTTATAGGCTGTCACAAGCGGCCGCATAGCGATCAACCCCAAGGCCAAACCATCAAAGAGGCTTATTACAGAGGGCAAACATGCTGCCAGTGTGTGTGTATGGAGGACATTATTGTAGTTTATATGCCTGGATGACACGCCAGCCAAAAGGAGGGGAACAGATAACTAAAATATGCCTGTGCTTTAGCTGCTCTGATTTCCATTTCCTCCCGAGAAGTTGCTCCTGTCATCGGAGCCATCTGCCTGCTCTGCCGTACACCTGTCTGCTGTTTTCACTGGAGCGAGCTGCAGAGAAGATGGGACATGGCGCTACATCTGCCCAGCACCAGGATCGGTCCAGTGCAAAACTGAACAAGAGATTTCACACAAATGCAGCTGCTCTCTCAGTGTAACTAATTTGCTTATGGGAGTGGAGGTGTACAGGTTTGGAGAGTACAGAGTCTAAGTACAGTGCAGTAGATTACTAGAGATTGACACAGTTCTAATAAGTTATGTTCAGACACATCTACTGTTGGAGTGCCACACTGGGACACTGGAAGTTCAAGGTACAACATGAAACCAATAGAAATACATGTGGAAAACAGACAATGCCTGTCAATTACAAGATGCTACTGGTTTGAATGTGTACCACAAAATATTTAATATTGATCTTGAAAGTAAGATTTTTCTGGCACACAGTGCTTCCATTAAAGTGTTTTATTTTAGGATCAGCAATCCATTGGTCATGAGCCTTTGTCAGGCAAAATAAATACATTTTCCGCCTAGGTCACTCCACATTCTACTGTCCATGCCATTCGGAGGAAGTGAACACACACCATGGCAATAACATATTTTTTGTGGATTCAGGCTACTGAAGTGAAGTTCGGCCATTGTGTCTTTTTATTTATCCATGCACTTACTGCCATCTCAGATGGGTCATTTAGACATATCCCATTTGTAATCCTAATTGTAATTTTGGAGCATAACGCAAAAAACGTTGTGTTAAGTTGGTGTAATGTAATGTTGCTAACCAACACAATTGCTATATAACGATGGCTAAAGAAGGTGATAACAACTGGTCACATCTTTTTCTGCAAACTGGTTCCTGGAAGGTTTAACAACAGTACAGGGGTCTAAAATACTACATTTCAACTCAGTTTTGAAACTTCAAAATGTATATATATTTAGATAAAATTAGAATCTAGTTTTATTTTTGATATTGATTAATATCTGACGTAAGTAAGTGAATAATCTATATAGCACATCTTTACAGACCATGGTCACCCAAAGCGCTTTACAATGTTCAGAGTTCAGATATTTTAGATACTTATGACAACCTCATCCAACCTGTATTGGAAAGCTCATGCCAATACTAAGCATATTCTTTTGTTTCTTTTCTACTTGCCATAACCATGAAAGGAACAGCTCTTATAATAAGGAATGACGACACAAGGCATTGTGCTGCGTACAGTCACAGCCACCTTGAAGCGCTGACGGCTGAAGTACATGCATCAAATTCACACAAAACACACTCTTCTCTCTTCAAGGAAACCCGGGCCGCTGTGTGATAAATGTGCATCTCAACGACTCATGTCTAATTCATCACAACCTTTAAGAGCAAGACGGACGCATATGTAGCGCCAAGGCTGCATATTGCAACGCTACGTGGGTGTTGATCTCAAACAGTATAATCCATATGCATTTTGAGTTCACAGTTTTATACAAGAATATTTACATTCACAGTAAAATGCAAGGAGTTAAAGTTGAGGTTTGAAATGTTGGAATCAAATGCATGATTTGTTTGACCAAATGCTCATGTTTTTTTGTACATATTCATGCATGTTTGAGCAATGTATGTGTTTAAACATATTTTGAAATAAACACTGATTGATTGACTGATGGTTTAAGATGCCATTGCTCCTGCCTGGCTCCTCTGAACACAAAATCCACTGATCACCAACTTCCTCTATGGTCTAAGTGGGTCTCTGCTATGACCACGTTTCCAATAAATTTGTGTAAAAGGGCAGAGCACAGAGCGAAATGAAGAGACAGCATACAGTACAGAAGTGCGCAGGCGTCAAAATGCTCAAAATGAAAAATTACCAAATTATTGGAATATCTTTGTGTTCACTCTGTCACCTGTCGCACCTGAATCCTCCCTCCCGGCACGGTGGCTGAGTGGATAGCACTCTCGCCTCTCAGCAAGAAGGTCCTGGGTTCGAATCCCGGCCGGACCAGGGCCTTTCTGAGTGGAGTTTGCATGTTCTCCCCGTGTCTGCGTAGGTTTCCTCCGGGTACTCCGGTTTCCCCTGCCACTAAAAATATGTACAATAGGTCTGGCATGCGCCTCCTGTTCGGCAACCCCGCTCCCATCTCTGTGTGGAGTGAGAGGACAAGTGCTCAAAAAATAACAATTGTAAACCGCTTTGTGACTCTGGTCTGTGAAAGGCGGTATATAAATAAAGCTTACTTACTTACTTACTACTTACTACTTACTTACTTCATATCACACCTGCATTATCTTCCAACAGATCTGCGGGCAGAGGTACACACCTGTCCACATGGCTGTCCGTCACAGTCTCTGCATTTAACTCCTGTCCGTCCCCTTGTCTTAGCTGGTTCTCCTGCTCAAGTTGGAACTAAAATCTGAAGCCACACCCTTTTGACACCCCTGCCCTAACCCAATAAGGATGCCATAGATTCTCACTACAGAGAAGGCAGCAGCATGTTATATCTTTAAAAATGTCTTTATTCAGGAAAAAACATCTACAATCTCTTAAATTTACTCCATGTTAATAATCCACAAATTACAAGGTATTTTTTTGTAATTCAATAAATAAGCTATAGTTCTAGTCAACTGGTTATTCATTTCAAGCTATAATGTCAGACAGGCTTCTACTCTATGTTCAAATCTTTCAATTGAACTGAAACATTGTATCCACACTCATTTTAATGTACTGTATTTATATCTGTGCATGATTTTAATGTTTCTTGTCTTGTTTTGTTAAGCGCTCTGAGTTTCCCTGTGCATACACAAGCCTTGTCCTATTTTAGTACGCTCAGTAATATCACTTGAAATTAAAAGAGATCCAACAACACCGCAAACACAATTGTACTTGGACCCCAGGAAATGCCATCCTTACTAATGACTAAAGGGGTTTCAATATAAATAAACAAATAGTGAAAACAACGGGGGA